TGTTGATTGTAACATTCCTATATCATTCCCAATGAGTAGAATGTCATCAACATAGAAAACAACAAATGCAAATGCATTCTCACTAACTTTCTTATAAACACATGGTTCATCCAGATTCTTATGAAAATCAAACGTTTTGATCGTTTCATCAAACCGAATGTTCCAACTCCTCGAAGCTTGTTTAAGTCCATAAATGGACCTTTGAAGCTTACAAACCATTTGTTCGCTCCCACTGGATATGAAACCCTGCGGCTGTTTCATATAAATGTCTTCCTTTATGTTTCCATTAAGAAAAACATTTTTCACATCCATTTGCCATATCTCGTAGTCATAATACGCAGCTATGGCTAGCAATATCCGAATAGATTTAAGCATTGCTACTGTTGAAAAAGTTTCCTCATAATCAACACTTTATTTTTGAGGATAACCTTTAGCAACCAGTCTTGCTTTAAAAGTATTAACTTCTCCATCTACACCACGTTTTCGTTTGTAAACCTATTTACAAACTATGGATACTATACCCTGTGGTGGATCAACCAAAGTTTATACTTTGTTTGAATACATGGAGTCTATTTTGGATTGCATAGCTTCTTGCCATTTATCTGAGTCAATGTCCGACATTGCCTCATCATAGCTTATTGGATCATTATCCAAAAGGAGTCCCTCTTCATTGTTCTCTAACAATAGGTATAGCCTCTCAGGCACCCTAGAAATCCTTTCAGATCTCCGAAGAGGTTGTCTCTATTGGTATGTTATTTGTGGCATTTTGTGGAATTTCCTGTGGTTCTTCATTAAGTTCTATGACTCCGCTATTCTTTGAGAGAAACTCTTCCTCTAAGAAAACATCATTCCTCGAAACAAACACCTTTTGCTCGGAAGGGTCATAGAAATAGTATCCAATACACTCTTTTGGATACCCCACAAATTTACATAAGTTGGATCTCATATCCAACTTACCTACCACTAACTGCTTGACATAAGCAGTACAACTTCATACTTTCATATACTTGTACGAG